AGCAGGAATTAGCAGTGTCACCATGACAGCTCCTCTCTAGCCAGGGCAAGTGCTTAAAAAGCAGCCCCAACAAGTGTTTTCCTCACAGGACTCACCTTTCCTCTGCTCTCCAAGGAGGTCTGCGGTCTCCAGCTCAGCTGAAAGGATATCCACAGCACCAGTGTGATCTGACTGAATCATGACTATATCCCCTGCTCCTGGAGGTACATGGTAGTTGGCTACCCGAACCACAGCTTCCTGCACAAAGCACAAAAGAAACACTGTCACAAAGACCATCGTGATAACAAAGTCCCTAGCTGGATTAAAAAAAAAAAAAACTCACTAGTAATTCAGACATCTTTCTGAAGCCAAGTCAGACCCTGCAGAAGCTTCTGTTAGTTAAAAAGAACAGTCTGGCTCCGAGAAACCTCTTTGCATTATTTCCCCCACAGCACCAAAGTCATGAACTTTGAAGTCAAATGCTGCATTAGTCTCACAAATTACACACCCCTCGGCCTTCCCAAGAGTCCCTGGGGCGGGCACATCTTTGCATCTGCCTCAGAGTTAACTGTCACCTCTCAACAACACAACAACCTTAAAGATTTAGCTGACTATTCTTGGAAAGAATTCCCAAGACAGTCTCTCCAGGGAGAGCTTTCAGTGCTATGTGAGACAGCCTAAAGTACAGTCACAACCAAACTGTCATTTGCTGCATCCTAGTTAAAAGTCCATCTGGTTCACTCGGGCCAACCCTCTCTCCTTGTATATGCAAGCTCACAGCTCCTGAGCTAGGTGCCACTTGCACAGGTTTTCCCGACTGTACCTGTAATGCAAATGAACTGGCCGCTCACCAAAAGAAACAAAAGATGGCAGAGTCACTTTCAGTTCCCTATTCCACCAATCTGCAAGAAGGGAATTCCCAGAAGCCTCAGACAAGAAGCAGAGGTGAGAATAACCCTGAAGCGTTAGCAAGCCAAAAACTGCAAGGAGGCACGGACTAGCTGAAGATGCAAGAGGGGTTCTGCAAATCAGACCAGTAACAATTACCTCCTGCTAATGTATAAAAAATCCCATAACTGAATCTATGCTAATACTACTTTTGTCTTAACCCCTGAAGCCTCAATCCCATAGCCAGAAGCACAGCAGTAGGGTGGCAGTACTGCTGCACCTGTGTCCTTGCTTTCAGACATAAGGAACACCCACCTACCTCTTTAAAAGACTGGATTTGGTCAGGCAGCGTCTCTTCTAGTACAGCCACATCCTGGTCCTCCAAAGTGCCAGCTTCTTCCTTTGAGGCCTCTGTCACACACGTATTCACGAGCGACCCAGTGTGCGGCCTTTCGGAGGAAGAGAGCACTGCAGTTCAGCACTTGCACCGAGGGCAGAGCCAGCAGAGGATTCACCCTGCCCTGGAACTCACATTCAAATGGCCTGAAGGGAACAGGCCTCTGCAGTCAGCAACTGCCAACTGCATGAAGAGCCCCTCGCACCCCAGTCCTGCCCTCATCTCCACCTCTCTTCCACGCGAGTGCTGGAGTGAGCAACTTGGGTGAGATACTCCGTATTTACCATCCTTTAGAAGGCAGTAATGCACTGCGCTCGCTCCAAGCCATGCCCGCTCACCAACACTGTACTAACTGCAGAAGTCAGTAGCAACATTTCTGCTCGAGAAAGGACAGCTTCTTTTATGCCAACTACTACCTGACATTTGCATATTCCATTAGAAGTCAGCTGGAGCAGTGGAAGGATGCAAAACAGTTTTGACAGCCATCGTTCTATTTATGTGGCCTATCATGCCTTTCCTGTTAGCAATCCCAAGAGATACAGGGAGCACCCAGGTGTTGGCATTCATTCTCTGAGGAGGGTTTGCTTCTAAATCATATTTTAAAAATGCTGCATATTGTCTACAGCTGGAAAGAGTTACCATCCCAAATGAACTCGGACAGATGCCAGAAGAGTCTCCTCTGCCATACTCTCAGATACTACATCAAACTTCCATGAGAAGCAACCTAGTCTTTAGAAAGAACAGAAACAGTTCCCCTTTTGAAAAGCAATGCCTTCTCACAGCACTACAAAACCAATGTCAACTGCCTTGGTTTAAACAACCACAAACAAGAGAACACAGCAGTAATGGAAAGTATGCGGATTTCCTCAAACATGTCCTTTCAGAAATTATGAATATGCTCATTAGCAAGGGAGCAGAATATCAGCATGGTGCGGAATAGTTTAAAAAAATAATTACAATACCCCATACACAACTCCACTCAGACACATTTCTTGCTGCATCTGTAGATAAGACTGAAACAGGGGAACTGTGGCTTTTGTTTCCAAATATTTACTCCTATGAGGTACAGATTTTATCCAGAAATAAAGCCATTTCTTAAATTCTCTCAATGGTGTGATTTCCTTTCCTAAAAATGGCATGATAGACCTGAAGGTCTGTTAGAACAACCCAAACAAGCTGAATACCAGGATACACAAAATAAAAGTGGATGGACAATATAAGAAAAAGGACACTTTGAGGGGACAATTTTCTAAAGGAAGAACTCTCACATAACAATTTCTTTGGTAGCCCAGGACAAATTTGGACTTCTATGCCATTGTTTTCCATCCCATTTGCTTTTTAGCTTAGCATCACACCTAGAAGGGCTATTTGGTCTCTTGTGACCGTAGCTGCACACCTGTGGACAAAAGGCAAGAGCCACCAACACAGGAGCTAACAGCTTGGGAATGTTTTCCTCCAGACACTACTGAAGCCCAAGAGTCTCACTCAAAGATTAGGAAGAGCTACACAAGCTTTCTAAGCAGATTTACAGAGTTCAGCTGATTCCTCCTCACACAACTCTTTTGGACCGCCCCCAAGCCTTACAAAGCAGATCTAACTTAGACAAATTTATCAGGTAACATCCACAGCACCCAGCACCTACTCTGGCCATTTTGCTCACAGTTTGTATTAATCTCTTTGCAGAAAATTAAAGGACAGAAGAAAAAGATGGAAGAACATGTTTGGAGTCAAGAAGGCCGATGCAAATGTCAAAGGCATCAAGCCTTTGTTCACTGGAACAGGTTGCCCAGAGAAGCTGTGGATGCCCCATCCCTGGAAGTGTTCAAGGCCAGGCTGGATGAGGCTTTGAGCAACCTGGTCGAGTGGAAGGTGTCCCTGCCCATGGCAGGGGGGTTGGAACTAGATGGTCCTTAAGGTCCCTTCCAACCCCAACCATTCTGTGATTCTGTGATAAGCCAAGATGGCATCAAACTGCTGGTTTGGTTTTGGGGTTTTTTTCTGGAATTTTCTCCCCTCTTTTTCAATGAGCTTGTGGTTTATCTACTGTCTGGTGCAATTAACTCACACGTTTCTGAAAATGTATCCTGTGCAACAAATGTACGATGGCAAATGAAACTCCGCTGCATTCGGTATTAGTGCTTGTAACCAGTGCAGCGACTCAGCCACAAGCACCACGTGCCCAATAGACAACAACAAGCCAAACATCTGATAACAGGGTCGATCAGCAGCATTAACGAGCAGTGACACTGAAAACAAAGGCCAAAGGGGAAAAAAAAAACCCCAACAAAACACAAACCAAAACATTGTCAAGAAAACAGTAAAAGGTGTGTTCTTGCTCAGCTTTCACCAGAATTATAGACAGTGGGAATGCTTAATTATTAAAGCATCCTTCAGACAGGACAGAGAATTTCCTACCGAAAGTTTATTAGCTTTTACTGTGGACTACAAAACCTCGCAGGGCTCCTTCCAAGCTGAAGGATTCTGTGATTTGAATAGCTGAGCCATGAACTACACACTTCATCGTTTCATAAGCTTTAAAACCCCCTTAAGCCTGCAAGAACAGCCCCTCCTGTACCAATTCCGGTACATACTGTCTCAAAGCAGACAGCTCAGTCCCCAGTCCCTCCTTTTCACCTGCACAAATCAACCGCCATATGGAAGGGGTCACAGGGGTGAAACAGACTGTCATGCACGTGGGCCATGATACACAGAAAGATTTCCTACCCGCCCTCCGACGCGCTGGACTCCCAAGAATCAACCAGCTGATCTGCAGGCTCTATCTTTTGGGCTGTGTCTTCATTTTCTAACAACAAACAGAATATAGAGAGAGAAGGTGAAACAAATTTCAGTCTTAGAGGAGGAAGAGTGACAGCCAGCACTCAAACGTCGGCAAGGTCACATGGCTGTGGAACGAAGAGCTGTGCCAACCAGTTTTTCATGTCATGAGCTGTATCTAGCACCTTGCAGAACAAAGACTTTTAATCATCTCAGCCCTAGGAAAGGGAGAACAAAAACCCACCGGTGTTTTTGGTGCAGAACCATGTTTGTTCAGGAACCACCAATCCTAGCTTTAGAAGGACAGAACAAGGCCGAATTTCATCATGTAAAACTGGGCTGACAAAGCCCTGGAAAAAGCAATCATGCAGCAGTTCCCCCAGGGCATTGACGAAATGGAAATTCCTAGGTCGCTGCTAAAAGGACTGTCTATAAAGTTGGCTCCTGGTCTCCCCTGAGTCTCCTGAACTCTGGGAAAGCTCTGTCCCCATATGACTGCGGTACACGCTCCACCGCCCTGCTGTCTTATCGCATTAAGGCAGTGAACTGGGCATGGACAAATTCCAGCTTTTGCAGCATTTTGATGATAGGCCCTACAGCCGCTGGCCATTTCCAGGAGTCAGTTCGGAGCTGGGAAGCACCTCCAAACCCAGACATACTGCACCAGGCCCCCAGCCCACGGCAGGGACCGTATGGGGGGCAGTCCAGCTCCCAGCTAAACGGGGACTCTTTCACCGGGGAAAGCATCCTGTCTCTAGCAAGCCTCCATCCACCCTCGCTCTTTCCACTGCAGGGAAGAATCCCAGGGACTTGCTGCTGCAGTTTCAGGGACTGGAGCGGCAGGTGATGCCGGGATGCAGGGCTCCCGCGGGGCAAAGCCAGCTGCGGGAGGGCACTCCGAGACATCACAGCCCGCCC